GCCCTTGGGTGCAGCCGCCCCTGCCCTCTCCAGCCCCCTCCCCCCACCCTCGCCTGCTCATCTGTCTCCCCCTTTAAAGCAGTGATTCTCAACCAGATGCTTCCCTTCCCTCAGACGCACCCTGGCGTGTTGGATTCTTCCATGGGTGCTCCCCCCCGACACATGCACCCCAGTAGGTCAGATTCTTGCAAGGGTACTGCGGAAGGTACCCGTGGGGGCTTTCCCCCCTATTGCCCTTCCCCCATGTGTCGGATTCTTCGAGGGTGCTGCAGGCGGTGCCTCTGGGTGCTCCGCCCCCCCCCCCAACATGCACCCCAGTGGGTCAGATTCTTGTAAGGCCACCTCGGAGGGTGCCTGTGGGTGCATCACCCTCAGTGTGTCATGTTCTTGTGAGGGTGCTGCAGAGGGTGCCCATGGGTGCTTCCCCCCACCACAAATGCATCCTGGTGATGCAGAAGATGCATGTGGGTGCTCCCCCCCCCCCAACACATGCACCCCAGTGGGTCAGATTCTTGCAAGGGAACTGCGGAGGGCACCCGTGGGTGCTTCCCCCCACCACACGCACAGTCTGATGCATCAGACTCTTCCAAGGGTGCCACGAGGGTTCAAATAGGAGTTGGTGGTGTGGTTGGCAGTCTGGCCTGTTGGGGTCTTTCTGAGCATACAGCAGCGGAAAAATTGCCCTCCTGTCTTTCTGTAGGCAACAGAGGAATGAAAAGTAAGAGGCGGCTATTTCCCGAGTGGCGCCCTGAGCCTCCTGAGAGGTGCCTTGAGTCTTAATAAGTTGGAGAGCCACTGCTTTTAAAGGCCTGTCCGTTCTCTTGTCCATTTTGTTCCACCTTGTTCTGCAGTCTTAGTTTCTGTAGAGGTGGGGAATTTATTGTTTCTGAAAAGGAGCCTAAATGGGCTGAATTATGGGATGCAGAAGCCCCCCACCTCCAGGCCTGGACTAATCAGTGACTTATTAGAAGACCCTTTTTCTGTCAAAATGGTGCAGTGATTTAATTGGTTTTGACCTATGTCTCTATAGGTTAATATTAGTAGGGTGGAACCTGGACAGGAGGATGGGGAATTCTGCAGAATCAACAAGAATATAATTGTGCAGTCTTTTGTGTACAAAAGTTTGTATGACTATGCTTATTGTTTCATCCTATTAACAAAAACGAGTCTAAAAATAATAGAAGCCACAGTCTTATCAAGTGAAGTAAACTTTATTTCAGATCTCAGCCATGGAAATACTGAATACAACTCCATCAACAAACGTATGATAAAACAGTGTTTGAACTACAGAATTGCAAAAGTGAATAAATTAACTTTATATGAAAGACTCATCTGCATTCGCAATGTGCATGTATTAGATCTATGAAAAACGTAATTCACTTTTTGAAGTATTTTTAATAACTTAAGGTTAGTTTTAAGAAGATGGTTTGTAGAATGAATTTTTATGAGAAAATCAGTCAGGTATGGTTGGTAAGTGGAAATACATCTCTCATGAATACTGTGTTACTCAGTGACAAAAATAAGATTGGCTTTATGCTTATATCAGTTTTCACAGCTATACCTTTTTTTACAGACCAGTAACATTCAGCAGAAAATTATAATGCTGAAAGAGTGAGTGCAAAATTCCCCAAACAAGTTTAGTACAAATGAAGATGACAGCCTCTCATTGCCTTTATTAAGGAATCAAAGCCAGTTAAAATAGTGATTTATTGTTCTGGAAAATCACTTGAACAAAAGTATTAATGTTTAAAGGTGGTATTGGGTAAAAGAGAGCTCTGGCAGACAAGTGGTATTATACAGTAAAAAAAAATGAAGATTTAATTTTGTTTTTCATTGTTTAGTGAAGTTTTGGTAGGCAGAGTTCAGTAGACTTATTGATATCCATTCCCCCACTTAAAAAAACAAAGGTGGTTTGAAATCTTTTTTCCCCATAAGACTAAAATGTGTCCCATTTCTACATTGTCATTATGCCAAGTCTTGGTATTACTCATACCTGTTAGATATTTGGGTACATGATTCACATTCATGCAGATTGTAAGCTTTGATCCTGGAGTTGTTTTTTTGTTGGTAAACCCTTGTTCCCATAGAGAGCTGTTTTTGAATCTGAGGCTCCAGGCAGGCCTAAAAATGCATCTGCACAGGTCTAGAGTCCAAAACAAAGTCATATGGCCCAAATGTTCAGATGTAATACATAAAGCAAACTAATGTGTTTTGTATTTGATGAAAGATTAGTCCTTTTCAAAATAATTTTGTCATTGGGTTGAGATGAGGCAGTAGTGAATTCTCTAGTCTTTTGTTTCAGTTGACATGTTTTCATAAATTAAACTATGGCCTTAGCATAGTTCTTAACAGGGATTGGTTCACATCTCAAAATCTCTATCCAATTTTTCACCAAGATGCCAGCTTCTTATTGTAAGTTATTGCTGAAGTTCCTTGGCATTTTAAAGAAATCTGTTACCTTGCGCTTTTGTCTTTTGGTACTTCTTGTATTCGGGAGTGCTAAGTTTCACAAAATTCATTCAAAGTCGTGGGGGGGGAAAATGCAGCCAATCACAATAGGCAAATATTACTGCTTTTGAAAGCCAGTGGATAAAAGTTGAATATTAGACTATATTTCTGTCTGTTTTGTTGATAAGCGCATACAATGAGTTTTATATTTAACATTTTGTGTCTTGACATATTTCCAGTGTTGAATAATTTAATTTTCTTATTTCCACATTTTTAGGCCAATGAAAAGGCAATGACCCTTTCAAAGACTTGAAAAATTTAAGATTAAGAAAAAAAAAAAATTGTATTATCATAATATATTTTTGAATTATACTGAATATGTGAAGCAGAGCATTTAAAGTAGGCTGTGTCATGAAGTTAAATTAACTTTGTCTGTGGCAGTATCATCTTGCATGCTTAAACTGGGCTGCACTTTATATGGGAGACCTCCAAGAGAACCACTGGATGCTACAGGAAGTAGTGTAGTGATTTCCTAGATGGCACTGTTTTCTTTGGGTTAGTACTAAATCAATACCT